TGAAGAACTCATTGCTGTAAGAATTTTTTAAAGTGAGAAATTAGCAGGAGTGAAAAGACTCAGAATTTGTATTGATAACGCAAATTTCTAAGGTGTATTTACTGATAATATACATTAAGACACTAGGAAATCTAGTTTTAAATCAAACTTGAAACATTCTTGTCCTTTGTGCTGTTGTTAAAGAAAAATTATACTGGCTTAGATTAAATACCCTGTAGGTGAAGTAGGGTTTATTCAACAGTACTCGATTTTGGAATATAAAAGAGGGCAAGCAGATAGCAATCCTTCCCCAGAAAACTTCCCATGCTTTCGGTGTCTGTCGTTCTTGAAGTTATGGAACCACAGGTGATGGATACCCTGTGCCTTTGTCCAGAAGTACCTTCTTTAACTTTCTCACCATTTCTCCAGTTCATTTCTTGCACCTGTGTAAATTATTGGTGTCCGCAGCGTCCTTCAGTTTAACAAGGGGTTGCTTTTTGGTTTTGAACTCCTGAATAATTTTCTTTTCTACTCCCTCATATAAGGAACAGCAAGTGAGTACTGCTTGTTTGGGAATTCTTCCTCTCAGGTTTTGTACGCATTCGTCATGGTCCTGCCCTGCAGTTATGCCTTGTTTTCTCTTTTTTGAAAGGGTTAACTCTGGAAACACAAGCAGTGTAGCCCTCTTAGAGCACACATACATGAACTGGCTTGGCCTGGCATAGGCATATCTTTTTTGGTTGTAATTCAGTAATACAACCCGCAGCTTTCTGGATTTGTCCAAAACCTCTGTGATGGAACTGTAATTTTAAGTCATCTGGGATGGAGAATATATAAATTTCTGACTTCAGTGAGTGAAGTCCTGGGTTTTTCACCCACCTTGGTTATGGAGTGACCAGCTGAGGCTGCTTCATCCATATTTGTTGCTGTTTGTATAGCCTCTTTAATGCCGTGTATCTGCTGGGTTTGGAAATCAACATTTTCAGGTGCCTTTGAATTCTGAGCAGCATGGAATATTTTTTTCTGTAGCAATGAAACATTTGTTTCCAGTGATTTAAAGGGAACGCGAAGTGTACTGAACACATAACTGGAGGAAAACCAATTAAGAATTAAGAACTTCCCTTATGTACAGTTTACATCTATATATTTTATAGAGAGCTTAATGTTAGTGCCGGGCCACTGAGTATCTTCAGACATTTTTGTGAACTCAGGATATAATAGCATATTTTCAATGAAATCAAATGCACCCAAAGTACCTGTTAGTGTAAGAATCCGCTCTAGTGGAGTCTGGTTAAATATTAATGCAAAGACTTTTGCTGTTGCACATTTTTATCCATAATTTCTTTAATTTGGTATTACGCGTTGTTGCATAATTTAAATATAGGCATCTGGACAATTTACTTAGCCAGCATAATGTTATGTTTTACTGAAAGTGTCTGCACAGTGTATTCTTAGGACTGTGTGCCAGCAGCTAACTGTTCAATATTTAAATAAAAGAATTGAGCTTTTGCATTGGAAAGCGTAACAGAAATTAAACTCCTCCAAGAGGTTCTGTTCATTAAAAGGGCAGTGTACTAATTACATGTACTCTTTCATATGTGCTGGGCATGTAGCAGCATATGTTTCACTCTACTGGTAGATTGGTCAAGGAATGTTAGAAATGTCTTTTGGGCTTATTTTCTTTTTAAATTTAATTCAATACGCTGTTTGTTAAGAAAGTAAACTTGTGTGATTCCATTTTTGTGTGTGCATTTAAAGAAATAGATTTAAAGAAATCCTACGTATCTTAGAGGTGTTGTTTGTCATAGGCAGTTGTATATGATGAAGATTGAACTCTACAGCTCAAATAAGTACTTTACACAAAGATTTTGTTCCTAAACTACCAGAACATACCTTAGCTGTGAGCTTGGAGATGCTTCCGTATCGGTTAATACAGCAAACTTAATACATCAGTGCAGAAGGGATGAGATTTCACAATAGCTCTTATATCTCTCACAGAAGTGTTAATGAATTTACTATATCAGGATATTTCTGACTGCTGAGTCAGAGCTGAATTCAAAGAGACCATTATTAAATATACAATATAATCCCCTTATTTTAACTTTGACTCAAGAAAGTATTTTCTTATGTACTGACTCAGAATTACTTTCTGAGTTTCTATTCTTCATATAAGCCCATTTGATTTAGAGGCTCCTAAAGAAGAAAACCTTTTTCTTTTTTTTTTCCTTTTTTCTTTTTTTTTTTTTTCCTTCTCACACAGTAGCCATTTATATTAACTGGAGTGCTCCTTTGCGGATAATACTTGGCTTGCTTTATTTTCCACAGTTTATGGATACATCTTAAATACTGAAGGAGTATGTGTACACTTTTCTGTTCAAGCATAATTCAAGCTAAGATGCATGCAGTACATTCAGCTTTCTTAAACTGTATCTTGAGGTTTTCATAGATTTTCTAAATTGGTGGTGTTTTAATAGGGACAGTGACCTTTCCTGCTCTTGTCATTTAAGTTCGGGATTCACTGCTTCTTAAAATTGTGTTGCACAAATGAAAGTGAATCAAATCATGGCTCAGACCTAATCATTTCTCTGCCTTATAATAGCTTACAGACCTTCAATTTATTTCAAAGGAGATCTGTCCTCCTTTAGAAACATCTTTCCTGTGCTGTCGAGGATGAAAGAGGGACAATTTGTCTACTTCTTTCTGGCCTTTTTCTTCTCTTTCTCTCGCTGTGGGAGAACAGAGTAATAAAGATCTATTGTTGATGAGGTTTCTGTGATTTTGGTTTGGGGCAAAAGGGCACAGTTTGGCATTTTGAGGCTTCCTTGCAGAAGCTTTTGAATCTGGAATTAAATTTTAAGCCAAACAATTAAAGTTTAGCAGTTACTGCAGATACCTGATGAAGATTCAGGATTTTTAGTAAATTGTATCTGAAGATAAAAGCTAATTTACAGCAAGTATTAAAGAAAAAAAAATTATAGTTAATTGCAACTACTATCCGTTGCATTTATTATAATGCTTCCATCAACAAGATGCATTCTGTGTGTGAATGGTAGTCATTTACAAAATAAGGGTTTAGAAAGCCAGTTAATTTGTGTTCTTTAATTTTAGATCTGAATAAATAAGCAACACATCTATTTTAAATCACAATTATACTTGCCTTATTTCTGAATATAGTAAAAATGTAAATATTAAAATAGATATTAAAAGTAAATATTAAAAGACTGGAAAACGAAGAATCTTTTTTTGTCTTTATTCTTAATTATTTGTGAGATATTTTTCTCACCCAGTGATAATTTCTTTGCCTCCTGGGATGTCTATTTTTTCCTCAGTCAGGGATGTTCTCAAATGCTTTGTTATCCTGGGGAAAAAATGTTCAGCTCTTAATATTTTATCAGTTCCATTGGGCCGAAGGTGCCAGCAGCTGTGTGAAAGTCTACCAGTCCTCAGTGTTTTAAGTCTTCAGCCTCATCGTGTGGGAACATTATAAATTATGTATAACAGTAGATGCCACTCAATAAATATTTAATATGTGATAGGTATTTTTGACTGAAATTACTTTTTCACTCGAACGATGATTTAAGCTGTATTTTTTGGTTTTATGAGGTGACACTTTTATAATATCAAGGAATAGCTGGGTGCATTTTGAATGTCAGAGAGCTGCAGGGTAACATGAATCGCAGCTTTTTTCCTGAATGCTGGAGAACTTTCTAATCCATCCGTGACCAGAGCGGGATTTCCCGGTCTTGTTTTGGAGTCTCTTTTGTATGTTGTGTCATCATCTCATCTTACCCAGGTGTATCTGTACTTAGAATTTTTTAAACAGTGTCAGTATTGATGATGTTTTTTACTGTGCAGGGAAACGAGATATTGCATCTGTTTTCTTCTTTCAGATTTGTCAAGTTGCTGTACTTGGGAAAATACATATAACTCTATCTGTTTTTTCTTACAAGTAGTGTAGTGTCTTGGTTGGCTCTGGAGAAGGCACACTGATGACTTGGAAAAGGAGGAGTCACGCTGCTGTCAGAAAACCTATTTTCTGTGTTTACTAGCACCAGGAGAAGAGTGTGCGTCTTGTAATACGCAGAAGTGCTACTTGCTGACGTTGTCTCTTCTTCCTGGGTTGTCAGTCTTCCTTGGCTCGTAAGGGCTTGGCTATTTTACAGCATTCATTTTGAGAGGTGGTGCGTGCACACATTCACAGTCTCTGTTGCCGTTATCTTCCAGGCCTAGAAGCCAGCAGGATTTTGTTTCAACTGGAAAAATAAACTTTATAAATACTAAAACTTCTTTCAAAGCTGTAATTAATTTCTTATTTATTGCATAGACTGTCCAATCAGTACTACGTCACATGATATTCTATCCAAGGTTGAAGCCTCCCACTTGTAGTCCTGGTGAATGATGCTTCATCCTACAAGTGGCTGTACACTGTTGCCCAAAGGAATTGTGAAGAACTGAAATTATATGCTGCAAATATTTCCTATATTTATTTACTGTTGTCAGTGCTTCCCTTACATTGGATGATGTTTTAACTGCTTAGGCTTGCTGAGTTTTCAGATGTCTGGGTTTTTTTTATTGTGCAAGGTTCAATTTATTTAAAGGATTGCCAAAGAGTTTTCAATTTTCTATTCATTAGCTGTACTGAATTCTGAGGTGTTTTAAATTCCCCTTACCATTATGCAAGGTGGTACGTAGCTTGCTTTTAGACAGCGTTGCTTTGTTATGCTCTTGATTGATCTTCCTTATCTGGTGTATTTCAGCTGTTTGTCTGGTTTCCTTCAAATAACACTTTCACAGATTTCCTGAACAGCAAGCTTGGAATGCTCAATGGAAATACAACAGTCGCATTGAAAATGTAAAAAAAAAAAAAAAACAAAAAACAAAAACAAAAAACAACATAAAAAAACCCACTTTTTTTTTTTGGTGATACTACAGAGAATAAGTTACATTAAATGTGGTTTAGAAAGAGAAGGAAGAACGGTATTTCTTGCATATCCTAATAAATAGACTTTTGTCCTTTACAGGAACAAACCTTGGCTCTGAGGAAAGAAGGGATAGGTGTTGTATTAGATTCTGAACTGCCTCATCTCATTGGCATTGATGATGATCTGCTCAGTACTGGTATCATCTTGTACCACTTGAAGGTGAATACATATCTGTGTTTCCATAGCCTTTACATGCCTTGTGATTTTTTTTTTCCAGTAGACAAATTGTAGTATTAATTTGCTATCTAAATATAGTGCTCATTACATTTCTCCAACATAGTAAGAAAATCTCATTACGTTTCTCCGCTATAGTAAGAAAAGCCTTTAAGAGGTTGTAACTGATTCAATTAAAATATCTGTTAATTTACTGTTTAGGCTTATCCTGAGGGTCAACTGGTTAACCAGAGATAGGTGTTTAATATTCCTACCTATGCATATTGATTTTTTCATTCATCTCATTGTAAGGCTTTGCTTGAAATCCAAATCTAGATTAATCGCCTCAAAACTACAAAGATGGCTCTACACAAAACAGTTGAAACTTGAATTTGCTAATAATTGCATAATAATGACTGTGAAAGCATCCTAAAAATGCTACCTGTTTTTTTATGTATGTTTTAATATATATTTTGTTCACATTACTCTGAGGAAGTGGAAGGATAACTTTTATCTTTGTGGGGGAGGAAGGGAGATTTCAGCTGAAAATAATGTGTGTTTCTCTCTTAATTAGGAGGGCCAAACATATGTTGGCAGAGAAGATGCTGTGACAGAACAGGATATTGGTATGGAATTTGGCATTTTTTTACATTCTTCAGTTGTTTTTCCTTCTTCTAACATCCCAATATGTGAACAAAACTTCATAGTTTTTTTCTCTTTTCCAGTTATTTGTCTGTATGTTCTTGCATATTTTAATTTTTAGAAAATTTGAGAGCTGAATTATGTGGGATTTGCTTCAGAGAGCATGACTTCTAGAACAGCTTGTGGGCTTAAAATTTATTCATATTCATATACTTGTTACTAATTTATTTCTTGCTTCTCTTGAAATAGCATCCTGTAAAAATATCATCCTTTTTAAAACAGCACCTGTCACAATCACTGCACAGTCATTCTCTTAATCTTTGCATAATGACAGTATTGTTATATTGTTATGCCTAAAGCAGTCTTTGGACTTTAGATTTGAGTTGAAGAAAATTCTGGAAGTTGGCAAAAAGTAGGTAGGCTTCCTGTACTGATTTTCTTATTCACTTCTTATCAAAGCAACTAACTGCCAGACATGGACTGTCCTGTCACATATGTTGCTTGAAGGAGGTTTTGTTAAATAACTGCATTCTTTAATTCTCAGGTGAGAGATTGAGAGTCAGATAACTTAGTTTGGTACATTTTTGTGGGTCAAAAGATGCCTGGATTAAAATTTCTATATAAATTTCATGAAACTAGTGAACTTGTGTTGCTTTGTGGTATTAAACAATACAGGTAGAGATAGTCATACAATAGTTGAAGAAGAGACAGAAAGTAGCACAACTGATTGATAAAAGGCCTGTACATAACAACGCAAGAACCTTATTTCAGCCATCCTTGTTAGTCTACAATCACAGATTATATCCTGTCTTTTCAGTCTTAGGCATGGTTGCTTTAAGGTCAAGCAGCTTTTATTATTTCCCAGAAACCAGTCAAAAAAACCCTTATCTCTATAAATATGTAAATTTTACTTTTCTGTTTGCTATCAGAAGGAAAGAAGCATTTACTAATCTGGTGCTAAAACATAGGAGGAAAGAACATTACACCAAAAAACCCAAGCAACCCAACACACTTCTCTTTCCACTACAATACAACAATAAACAGCATCAACATTTAAGGCATGCAGGATGTGATGAAGGAAGGAAAAAAACATTGTCTGGAATAAAGAGAGAAGATATTCTCAAATATGTAGTGCAATATGTCCTTAATAAATTAATATCAGCATGCTAATCTTACTAGTTGTTAAGAGACTAATTATGTTATTTTATTTCTTTGTATTTAGTTCTTCATGGCCTTGATTTGGAAAGTGAGCATTGCATCTTTGAAAATCTCAACGGCACTGTGAATCTAATACCACTGAATGGAGCACAGTGTTCTGTGAATGGTATTCAGATTACAGAGGCCACACACCTAAACCAAGGTATTATTACCCGGTGTAACGTCACTTTTGATACAGCATCTTCGTTTCTTTCTGGCGACAGCACTGAAAAAAATCTGTGTGTATATAAAGGGGTTATTGTTTAACTAATTTTAATTCCATTTCTTCTCATCTGCAGCCAAAAACGATCAGGAGAGCCATGGAGCTTTTGTTCTGTCAAAGAATTGCCATGTGATGAAAAGAAAGAGAATTCTTTACTAATTTAAGCCACTTCATAATCTTGAGTATGAATTGATAGTTACCATTTGATTTCGTTCAAAGTTTATACATAAAGTGAACTCCATGCCAGATTGCTTAGGTTGCTGTGATATTAAGGAACAGAATATTGGTCTCTATAGGATGACAATAACGTCAGAGACACCTTTCCCCCTTCCCGAGCTTCAGGCCAGTTCTACTTAACACTATTGCCAAATCCTCCTGTATGGCAGGACATTCAGCTGGAGATTCACTGCAGCTGTAGGGGAATGACAAAAAGGGGGAGGCTAAAACTTATAGAGGAAGTTTAGAGAATTATAATTTTAATATAAAAGCTTTAAAATCTGGAAACGAAAAAGCAGCCGGGACAGCTGGGAACAAAGGTATATTATGTTTGCCTGGAACGGACTGGCTAACAAGTAAGCTGGTGAGTGCTGCAGCAGAGATTTGGGATGTTTTATCTTCCAGGAGCACCCAGAATATCTTCCCATTTAGCAATGAGCTGAAGACTGTTTAGGAGTGAGGCTGTGACACAGCTCAGCTGCTGAAAAGCAATATCACTTTGCATTCCTGGAAAGAAGCTTTCAGAGTAAGCTTATTCTAACAAAGGAGGAATGCAGTGTTGAACAAGGAAGTCTTGCATCTTTTCTGAGCTCAAACAAGTGCTTCAAAAGTCTGCTCTCAGAAAGTAAAGAGTTTTGGTGTAGAGAGGGGATGGTGGTTTTCCGAAGTGTCTGTTTCTTCATGCAGAATGAGAGATGTACGCACTTGTTTCTGTTACAGATACTGGGGGAAAAAAAAGAAAGCCCAGCCTCCCTTGTCTTATATTTGAGTAAATCCCCTTGATAAATTAGCAATAGAAACATTGACATTAACGGCAAATAACTCTGTAAGCAATAAGAACTGCAGTTGCAATGACTCATCTTTACTTTATCCTGCTGCATTTCAAAGGCAGCAGAGGTTTGATGTGCCTCAGAAGAAAGCAGGAGTTTAGATGCTGTTTCCTTCTTCCAGGTGTATGTAACAACTTGATTTTTGTATTGTGAACAGTGGAAACGTGACTTTTCTTCATCCCAAATTTCTGTCTGTCTAAAGAAATCTGCAACTCAAAAGAGGAGGATAGGGTTGCTCTGAGTTACTAAATTGGGGTGGGGGGGAAGCTGCATAAGCTGACCTGTAGCCTGTGTAACCAGACTGAGTGTAAAACAAAGATGGCCGCTATGACATCAGGTGGGCAAAGTTGATGAAATAACTAGTTTAACAACTTGTGCACAATCCGTGTATCTTAGCTGTGTTAGCATTTAGTCTCATAGCATGAAGTGGCATCCTCCTTAAATATCTGCTTTAGGTAATGCTGATTAACTGCTAATATATTTAAATGTTTCCGTTCATCGTTAATAACTGTTCATTTGAAAATGTGTTTAGTTTTTAGACTGTCATGGAGCTAAAAAAAAAAAGGCCTATTAATTAATTATCACTTCCTTCTACAGATTACTTCCAGCATTTGTGAATTCTGGCTAATGTGGCCTCTTTGTGTAAATGTAACTTGCTACAATATTTTTTTATTCTTGAGAACGTATGGTAGAGTTTCTAAAGGTAATTGAATTAATGTTCACAATTAGAATTTGTCCTTTACCTTAAACTCCCAAAGAGTTGTGGTGAATGGAGTTAAATCCAGTTGGCGGCCGGTCGCAAGTGGTGTTCCCCAGTGCTCACTGGCACCAGTGTGCCAGTTCTGTTTAATATCTTTATCAATGATCTGGATGAGGGGATCAAGTGCACCCTCAGTAAGTTCACAGGCGACATCAAATTGAGCAGGAGTGTTGATCTGCTTGAGGGTAGGAAGGGTCTACAGAGGGACCTGGACAGGCTGGATCAATGGGCTGAGGCCAACTGTACGAGGTTCAACAAGGCTCAGTGCCAGGTTCTGCACTTGAGTCACAACAACCCCAAGCAATGCTACAGGCTTGGGGAGGAGCGGCTGGAGAGCTGCCTGGCGGAAAAGGACCTGGGGGGGTTGGTTGACAGCCGGGTGGATATGAGGCGGGCGGGGGGCCCGGGGGG